AAAGAAATAGTGGCTATACCACCAGATGCTCATCCTGAAGCTCCTGATTGGTCATATGCATTTACTGCTACCACAGTGGCTCTGACCACTGCACAGTGTCCAGGATCTGAATATTCAATGAATAAACATAATGTCACAGCTTGGTGAGATAATTCATTGACATTCCATTGTTGATGATTCTTCAATGTTTTAAAATGAAGTTGTAAACTTGCAATGAAGTTATCCAAAGTGTCTTCACATTATTCTGAATACAAAGGGTGCATCAATCTTAGTCAGTGCAGATAGTGATATGACTTTCATGGAGAAATCGACCACAAATTATCAGTAATACACCATGAAACCTTGTGGACTTCTTGTTTATTAGCACGTCTGTACAGGGTGTCCTTGACCACTGTAATCTTTGCAGGATAAATGGGCACTATCTCTACTTTGATATTCTGGAATACAATTCATAGTTCTCAACAGTGAATTGAAATGAGCAACAAAAGAATAGTTTGTCATTCATTTAAATAAGACATCTCTGCAGTTGCAACCCTCTAAATGTAAATTTCAGCTTTTCAAAAGTGGCAGGTGCATCATACAGACAGAATTGCATGATGCAGAATTCACATAGTTCTTATCACTGTAGAAAACAGCTTCTTAGGTCTAATTTCATCATCTAGTTAAGTTTTACCATAAGCTAGAACTACTGTACTGAGCCATTGGGCACCCTCCAGTGCATCCAGGCATTCATTTATGCATGGTAAAGGAATGGCATTGATAAGCATTTCTATGTTTTCTGACATAATGTTCATACAAAACCTTAGCATTCCTTCCTTCTTACTAACAATCATTACTGGAGATGACCAAGCACTCTCTGGAGGTTGAATTTTGCTGACCTTCAACAACTGATCAATTTCAATGCTGACAATATCCCTGGTGTTCCAAGGAAGTCTGCACAGCAGTTGTTTTATCAGACATATGCTGCCTGTATATATATATAATGAAGCATGATTGTTGTCCAACCCAATTGATCACCTAGTCTTATTAACATATCAACATACTCCCCAAGCAGTTCCTATGTTCACATCTTTATTTCAAATTTATATTGTTAGCATAGTCTTCTAATAGAACTTTAGGTAGCCTTGACATTGCACATTTGTTCTCACATTTTACGGTGGATATGATGTTAGTTACTACATTTGTGTAGCTTTGAGCTTAATAACAAACAAACAACAGCTTGTATGTGTCACTTCCAGCTCTGTTACCATGCTGATGACAGAAATAGTCAACTGTCCATAGTACACTGTAGAACACCATTTGCACACTAAGCAGTATTGCTATCTTCTCAACACACACAGTCCACTGTTCTCAGGGCCAATCTGGTCAATACTGGATAGCTTATTTTGCCACAGAATTGCAGTTACCCTGTAGTACAACCAAAACTGGCTGCCAATTTTTACAGTAGGTCAATCTCTACAGTACCAATACCTAAACTCTAATGAGAGACAGCTGCCTTTGTTTGGTAACAACATAGCCAAGACAAAGCCAGAGATGCTGTTCTCCACTTGTGCAGCTTGTTGTTGTTTTCCATAAAGAATTTGGAGCAACTTCCTTAAGTGATAACTTTCCATAACCACCTGATACATGGCAATATTCACTAAAACTTTGGCTGCTCCAGTATCCACTATAAACTTAAGTCTTAAGAACTGGGGCAATCTTTGAGATAAGTTTAAAAATGTTTAAACCTTTCAATTATGTATTTTAAAATGTAACTAATACATAATTAACTGAGATATAAAAGTAAAACCTAAATGCAATTTAACTGTTTCTCTAACTATAGCCTATTCAGCTAAGAAAAAACTAAGTGCTATCATGGGTAAACTACAGGCAGTTACATCTACCCAATGACTAAGACTGAGTGCCAGTTTCAAAATAACCATTGTTGGATTATAGTGTAAAATGAGCTCTTTCTAATGACTATAAACATGTATATGTAAGAACTACATGTAAGTTGTAAAGCTCTAGTATATTCATGATGTCAGAAAAACACGTAGGTTCAAGAGGTCTTGATATAAAATGATAAAAACCATGTAACCTGAGTGCTTTTGAAATGTGGACCTTTCTTCTTCAGGGGCAAACAATTTGTCTCTGAAGAAAAAAGGTCCACTTTTCAAAAGTGCTTGGGTTACAAGGTTTTTATCATCTTGCATTAAAATCTCAAGTATATGTATAGAAGGTGGGTGTGGCATCTGCAGTAGTTGACAAAATTTATTATTTGTATCTACTGCATTCAGAAAGAGAACTTTGAAACTTACGTGTCAATAGGGCAAGTAATGGTACTTAATTGTCTAGACGTACATCTACAGGACAGGTGTTATCTAAGTCAAGATAGCAAGTGTGAAAGTTGAGATTTTTTATAGCATGTGGGTCATGTGACAACACAAAACTGAAATTTAAGTATTTTTAAAAATGGTTCTTTTTGAAATAATAGAACTAAAACTTAGATAATGTAAAACTTAAAATCATAACCATACATTATAATGTTAATTTCCTTCAATACATTGATGGTAAAGGTGTTTAATTAAATTTTGGATGTAACACAGTGACTTGCACAGAAAAGTTTAAAACTGTATCTGTGGTTAATTGCCCTTGTAATGGTGCAACATTTCAAATAATACTCCATTATTATGTCCTACCTTTGTCTTAGTTACTGCTTGAAATTTGGAAGCTCTGTCCATAAGCTTTGTTGGCCAGGAAATCTCTTTGGATCATAGCAAGATGCTGTCTGCTAAACCTGATGGCATTGCAATATATTGCATCCAGTACACACATCTTATCAATTTCTGTGGTTAGTGGTACCCCACCTAGTGCCTATTGATGCTTGGGCTAATCAATATGCACCTAGCTTAAACTTGAAGCTCCATAGAGACCATTCAAGGAGTCTCAGTGCATTCAGGCTACTCACTGTATCACTTATTCTTCTCTTTACTCTCCTGCTCTCCATCATACAGGGAGTAACCATCTAAGGTTGTATTATTGTCATCCATGATTGCCCAGTGAAGCACCCATAAGTTCTTTGGTTTCAAGAATTGATTGATAAAATGAACACCACTCTTACCATAGCTGGTAAAACCTTTGGATCCAGAAGAGTGCTTCTCCTAGACCTTGCTGCCTTTTCAGATCAATTCCTTAATACCACTGTAGTTTTCTTATATCTGCTTTGAAAGTTTTATGTGGTCTCAGAAAGTTTTCTTTTGTGACAGCTGGATTTACAAATGTTATTTTACAAGAAAAGTAACAGAAAAAGGAACCCTTTCAAAACAAACCCCACAACAATAAGTCTTTTGGTCATTGTACTAAAATGTTTTAAAAGTGCTATATTATGTCTTGTTTTGCCTATATTATTTTTAAAAAATCCTTTGTTTTAATTAACCCAATGATACTAGCCACCCAAATGGATTTTTGTCTCTTGTTTTAACCACAGAAATAACCTAAAGTTACAGATACTCTTACTTATTTCTTACATAATCCACTACCACCTAAAGAAACCTTTGTAAATTTAGTGTTATTAATGCAATAAAAATTACCAAAGTATACTGATAACCAACTGGTAGCCAAAATTATGCACAAAACACAGTTTCAAGATTGTTATGAAAAAATACATTTAAAATGGACAGGAAAGGAAAACAAGTAAACACAAGCAAATAAATCAAATCTTTATTCATAGTGTTGAAACCTTTAAACTGGCCTGCTTTTTTAGTGTCTTTATGACTCAACTGGCTGCTGGGGTGAAGAGAGACTTTTGCAAAATTAAGGGAGAGCAGGATCATGAGAGCACAAAATAGAGAAGCAGAATTGTGTGTATATCACACTTTTATACTCATATTGAGTTCATAGTGTGGTTTCCATTGTTCTAGCTTACGTACATCAACCATCATTCTACATAGGTAAACCTAACCATTTTAAGCCAGTTTTTTCTGGGGTATGTATTACTTGTTTGAGTAGCAAACTTATAAGAAAATCTATGGAAAAATGTACACACTAGCTTGACTCTTAAAACAAAAGTTGTATCTTGTAACTTCCCACTGTGTAAAAGGAGAAAACATATGTTCACAACCTTGTGATGTCCAGACAATACAGATGTGGGTTAACAACGTGCAGAACTCCTGCATGAAAACTTCGAAAATACATGAATATATCTACCTAATGATGCACTCAGTGATAATTATGAAGGGGTAAAATATGATGATATCAAGTTATCACATAGTAAAGAGGTTAGTGTAGAGGAAGTTAACTAAATTTCTATAGATAGCTGTCTATTTTTCAACACAAGCATGAAGAAAATAAATATTAAGCAAAATTGAAATTTAGTTGAACATTCTTAACATTAGCATTTGAAAAAAACTGTTGCTACTTTATCCTTTTCATTTATCATCATACCTTCATTGAATAAAGAATCTTTTGGTGACATCTTTTAAAATATGTAGATTTGAAATGTGAGAAAATTATTGGAATTATAATTAGATAAGTAGAATTATTGGTGTTTTAAATAAGTAATTAAAAACCAAATAAACTAAAAGTTTTGTTCATATGACGTACATCTGTCCTTTTCTTCCACTTTCATTCCTGAAAGGTTCTACTATCATATGGAAAAACTCATTTTTGATGTAAAAACTTGCATAAATCTATAATTCCAAAACCTCGTACTATAAATTAGATCCAGGCCTTGAAACAGTTATATAATAAATACAGACATTATATCATTCCTGTATTTAAAGTATTAAGTTTACTTTTAAAAAATTTCATAAGTAGTTGACATTTAAATTTTAAATTATAGTATCTATTCAATTAAACTTTAAAGCTTTATATGTATTACTAATATCACAAAATACATACTCTTATTACTTGTTTTTAATCATATCTAGTATGTAAGATTATTGTATTGTTAATGTTAACTAATTTCATATCAAAAATTCTACCACTAAAAGTATATAAACTTAAGAATGTTGCATTTTCAGCTCCATACGAAGGTGGAGTTTGGAAAGTTAGAGTAGATTTGCCCGAGAAATATCCATTTAAATCTCCATCAGTTGGTAGGTCAAACTTTTTTTTTTCTAAAACTTATTCTGTGGGGTGAAATCATAAAGATGGATACTTTTGTAACACAGTTAAGTTTTTATTGTACTGAAGTCACAAGCTTTTATCATCATCCTTGTATTCTTGTTTATTATATACCTGAACTATTTAATAACAAGGCAACAGCATAAGGGGAATTTTGTTTGAAATAGATAAATAGATTTATGAATAGTGTGTGTATTACTAGCAATTATTATTGTGATTTTAGCACTTTCATAAAAATTGTTTTTATGAAGATATAAACAAATTATATGAGTTTTGCAAGAAATTCTAAATTATTAACATTGATCCACCTGTGGCTTTATTAAAAGAGTACCTTAAATGTGCTTCAGGAAATATCCGATTTTTAAAGTGAATACGAAGGTTTATGGGATAATTTATAATAATATCTTCATACTAGCTGAATTATCATATACAAGTTAAACTTCTACATAAATGAACCATGAAAATATAACACTACTGTAATAAGCACTCACTTATGTAGTGATTGCTTGCTACAGCCACTGCCAGACTAAAATGCGCATGTGTGTGTGTGTGTATATATACACCTGGAAAAAAGTTAAGCACCCCCAAATATTTTTCAGGTATTGCTTAT